TTTTTGCAGTGACAATTTTTGTCTTTTTGTCATTTTTTTAAATACTTTGTGCGTGTGTTTGTACATACACATGTGAAGGTCAGAGGACAGCTTTCAGGAATTGCTTATTGCCTTCCACTTTGCTGAAACAAAACCTCTCATTTCTGCCCCACTGCATATTCCAGGCTAGCTGAGCTGTAAGTGTCCAGAGGTTGTCTCTGCCTCCCATCCTACTGTAGGAGTACTGAGATTACACGTGTGCATCACCACACTGAGCTTTTACATAGGGTCCAGGGGATCAGGTCACCAAGTGTTTTTTATCCACTGAGCCATCTCCCTGGCCCTGTGCCCCTTTCTCTTAAGTCGCTTTTGCTAGGTGTAAAATCTGACTCCTTTTTCTGGTATCTTAAATATCCTCTCAATTAGGTTATGGCATTCAGCATCACTATCAAAGTGATAATCTAATTTTCCTTTTGTAAGTCCCAAGGACAGGTGTGTGTAAAGTCCAGTGGGTTGTTTTTGTTTTGTTGGATTTTTTTGTTTGTTTTTTGTTAGACTATGCCTTAGTATTTCTTATTTTGTGTTGATTTTCTTAGACATGTACTGTCTTCTTTTGAAATGTGGCTGACAGTCTTACCTGTGTCTGTGTGTGGTTATGTACAGGTATGAGTGCAGGTGCCCAGGGAGGCCAGAAGAGGGTGTCAGATCCCCTGGAACTGGAGTTTTAGGTGGTTGTGAGCTGCCCAGTATGGGTACTGAGAACTGAACTCTGATCCTCTGCCAGAGCATCCAGTGGTCTTAACTGCTGAATTGTCTCTCCAGTCTCATTAAAATACAACTCTTAAATTTTGTTCTTTTCCCTTTGAATTTATTTTTCAGAAGTTCCTGTTATTTTGAGTGTTCTCTCTCTTCAATATTTGCCCCCTTGTTTTTTCATTTTTCTGTTTTAAAATTTTCTTCTTTTTACCTCTTAATTCTCTTAAAACAGTCTGTGTTATGTTGAATTGCTCTTGTATTTTTTTAGGTATAGACTTAATCCACAGGTGATTTTTTTTTCTTTTTATTTCCATTACTTGTGTCTTTTGCCCACATTTCTGAGTTTTTCTAATAAGAAATAATGCTGTTTTCTATCCTGTATTAGTTTCTTAATGCCTTTTAGTTTGTTTTTGGATAGAAGATTACAATTTTGATCTGTGGTATTATGCCTCTCTAGTCTTGGTTTCATTATTCTGAAGGATGTTTTGCTTATAACTTTGTATGATTTAACCTCAGTTCTTTTCTTTGGTTGTTTTTAATGAAATCAGTTTTCTTAACTATTTTCCAGTCAAAGAAAACTTTCTAACGTCACAGGTCTCTTTCAAAAATATGGCAGCTTGCTTTTTACAAGTTCCTGGCTTTTCACAGGACTCTTTCCTTTGTCTGTTTATCTTACTTGTTTTTTAAATTTTTTATTTATTTTATTTTATGTGTATGAGTATGTTGCCTGCAAATATGTAAGTGCACTTGTGTTGTGCAGTGCCCATAGAAATCAGAAGAGGGTGTTAGATTCTCTGGAACTGGAGTTTACACACCATTGTTAGCCATCATGTGGGTGCTGGGGAATTGAACCCAGGACCTCTGCAAGACTAGCTAGTGCTCTTAACTGCTGAACCATCTCTCTAGTTCCTTACTTGTGTTTATTTCCAGCATTTTGTTTTTTTTATTTTTCAGAGGCAGGGTCTCACTACATAATGCTGGCTGGCCTGAAATTCACTATGTAGACCAGACGGGCCTAGAACTCACAAGGATTCATCTGCCTCTGCCTTGCGAGTGCTAAGACTAAAGAGTGCTAGGACCAAAGGCACGCACCATTGTGCATGACTATTCCCAGCATTTTGATCACCTTGTAGGGCTGTGACCTACAAGGGAATTCTGGTTGATCATTTGTAGCACTTTTTATTACCTCTTTACCTCCTTTAACAAGACCAAGGGCATCATCATAATTTAGCTGTCTGATGAATACCTAACTCCTTCAGTATGCACACTACCCTCCTAATTGTATAGAATTTCAGTTTCACCTTTAGATAAAGGTTTTTCAAGTTGAACCATGTTCATTGATTACCTAAATGAAGACTTGATTTCATCTTTTTTTTTTTTTTTTTTGGCCTTTAAGACAGGGTCTCCCTATATAGCCCCAGCTGTCCTGGAACTCACTATGTAGACCAGGCTGGCCTTGAGCTCAGAGAGATCTGCCTGCTTCTGCCTCCCAAGTGCTGGGATTAAAGGCGTGTGCCACCACGCCCAGCGATTTCATCATTTTTTGTGTTATAGATTAGTTCTGTAATTCTGCAAGTGTTACACTAGGTGGCATTTAGATCAAAAAGTTATTTGTTGTTTTTGTTTTTGTTTTTACAGTTCTGGAGGCTGCAAGTCTTAGCCTAAAAGTATGGTTGGGTTCTGATGAGGTCTCCTTCCTGGATTACAGACAGCAACTCTCGTTCCTCTTCTGAGAGACTAATCCATAATTGGAAACTTTACCATATGACTTCTTTCACATCTGATCACCTCCGGAAGGCTCTGCCTGCAGATCCTAGAACAGTGGAGGATTGGAGCACTAGCATAGGAATTGAGCAGCTGAGTTGCAGTGCTTCCTTCTAGATGCCTCTTTCTCTTTATTGAAGTTCATTTTTAGGTAACTCTTTGATTATCTAAACTCATTGGATGTCTAAAAATAATTTAATTAGCCCTTGCTCTTGAATAACCATTTTAACTTGAAGCATTCATGCTAGTTTGATAATTATTTTTTGTTTTGTTTTGTTTTTTGTCTTTTTGAGACAGGGTCTCTCTGTAGCCCCAGCTGTCCAGGCTGGTCTTGAACTCACAAAGATCCACCTCCTCTGCCTCCTGAGTGCTGGGATTAAAGGCATGCACCACACGCCCGGTGATAATTATTTTTATAACTTTGAAAATCATTTTTCATTATAGCAAAATTGCTAGTTATAAGGAGCCCCTGTTTTCTCTTTAGTTTTTATGATTTTAATGTTCTATTTCAATATGACACATTTAGGTGTGATTTTATTTTTATTCTTGCTAAATAGTTGTGTTTTCTGTCAAGAATTCTATTTTTCTAGGTCTGGAGAAATGGCTCAGTGGTTAAGAGCACTGACTGCTCTTGCAAAGGACCTGGATTGAGGTCCCAGCACCCAGAGGCTAACAACCATCGGTAATTCCAGTTTCAAGGTATTCAACACCCTCTTCTGGCCTCTAGGTACTGCATGTACATGCTACACTTATATGCATGCAGGGAAAAAACTCATACACTTAAAATACAAATAAGTAAATAAATTTTTTTCTCAAGCTTTAAAAAAATTCCGCAATTACCTGTGTGTGTGTGTGTGTGTGTGTGTGTGTGTGTGTGTGTGTTGCCTGCATGTAGGTGAATACACCCACGTTGTCGTACAATGCCCAAGGAGAACAGAAGAGGCTGTCAGATCCCCTGGGACTGGAGTTACGGACAGTTGTTAGCTGCCGTGTGGGATTTGAACCCAGGTCTTCTGCACGAACAGTGTTCTTAACTGCTGAGCCATCTCTCCAGCCCTCAAAGCAGCTCTTAATTTTGTCATTGTCAGTTAGTTTTTCTAGCTGGGCATGGTGATTAACACCTGTAATCCCAGTACTTGGGAAGTGAGTTTGGAAGAGTCTCTTAACCACTGAGCCATCTCTCCAGCCCTCCACTGTGCCGTTCTGCTGGCCCCTGAACCTTCTTTTTATTTTAGATTTATTTTTATTTTATAATTTATGTATACGTGTATCTGCGAGTGTGCTATTTATGTGTGGGTGCCTGTAGAGGCTAGAAGAGTGTGTGGGATCGATTCCCTGACTTAGTGACAGGTGATTGTAAGCCGCCCAATGTGGGTTCTGGAATCTGAACTTGGGTCCTCTGGCAGAGCACAGCATGTACCACGACATTCATCTGGAAGCCTTCCTCTACCATGTGGGCCCCTGGGATTGAACTTAAGTTGTCAGGCTTGGTGGCATGCACTTTTACCTGTTGAACCAACTTATCAACTTGCTGAACATTCTTGCCTAGGTTTTTTGTTGTTGTTGTTCTTTTTGAGACAGGGTCTCCCTGTATTCCCAGCTGTCCTGGAACTCACTGTGTAGACCAGGCTGGCCTCGAACTCACAGATATCCACCTGCCTCTGCCTCCCAAGTGCTGGGATCAAAGGTGTGCGCCACCATGCCCAGCACTTGCATAGGTCTTTTTATGCACGTATTTTTGCATTTTTTTTCTTGGGTAAATTCCTGGGAGGAAAATATTAGATTATAGAGGTACATTCTCATAGATACAGATAAATATTTAGCTTTAAAAAACTGCTAATTCTCGCTGGGCGTGGTGACGCAGGCCTTTAATCCCAGCACTCGGGAGGCAGAGGCAGGCGGATCTCTGTGAGTTCAAGGCCAGCCTGGTCTACATAGTGAGTTCCAGGCCAGCTGGGGCTACAGGGAGACCCTGTCTCAAAAAGACCGAAAAAAAAAAAAACTGCCAGTTTTCAGAGGGATCCCATTTTACATTTTAACTGTTGTAGTGGGCTGTGTGGTAGCATCTTGTGAGGTTTTTTTTTTCTTTGTTTTTCTCCTGCTTTTGTTGTTGTCCGTTTGGATTTGAGACAGGCTCTTTCTCTGTATCCCATGCTGATCTTGACCTCAATGATCCTGCCTCAGCCTCTCAAGTGGAAGGATAGCAGGCATGCGCCATCAGTGCCTACTGTTAGCTCTTTCTTTGGGGATTTTTGGTTGGTTGTTTGGGGTTTTTTTGTTTTTGGTTTTTGGTTTGGGGTTTTTGTTGTTGTTGTTGTTTTGGTTTTTTGAACAAGGTTCCTGTAGCCCCAGCTGACCTGGAACCCACTATGTAGACCAGGCTGGCCTTGATCTCACAGAGATGGACCTGTCTCTGCCTCCAGAGTGCTGAGATAAAAGGAGTGTGCCACTACTCCCCACACTACTGTTATTCTTAATGCTGGTCGTCTCTTCTCTTTCAGACCCTTTGGAGCAGGTGGTCACCATGCTTAGGTACTAGCAGTCACGTTAGCTGTGTACTTCACACTTGAAAATGGCAGAGGGAAACAACAACAAAGAGGTCATTCATTTGAACAATTTTCACTGCCACCGGAGACGAGGTAAATTGCTCCTTCTAACTTTAAATAATGACAGTAGCTTAGAAAATCATCCATCTCAGAGAATATGAGAACATACAAACATTTGTGAATCTAAAAAATTGACAGGCAAACATACTACACCTAATGTATCAGCCATATTTTGAGCCATGTATAAATTTTGAATTTCAGGAGATTCGAATCATGTAAATTATATTCTCTAGCAATTATATTCTCTAGACAAATCAATTACAGAAATATTATTAGAAAATCCTTAGATGTGTGGAAGGTTATGGCTCAGCACATAAGAACACTGACTGTTCTTGCAGAAGACTTGGCTTCGAATCCCAGGACCCACATGGCAGCTAACAACTGTCCGTAACTCCAGTTCCAAGGGACCCGACAGCCTCTTCTTGTCCTCTTCGGGCATTGCACGACATGGGTGCACTTACCTACACGCAGGCACTACACGCATACACATAAAATAAAAGTAATAAATAAGGCAGGCGTGGTGGCGCACACCTTTAATCCCAGCACTTGGGAGGCAGAGGCAGGCGGGATCTTTGTGAGTTCAAGGCCAGCCTGGTGTACATAGTTCAGGACAGCTGGGACTACAGGGAGACCCTGTCTCAAAAAGACAAAATAATAATAATAATAAATAAAATATTAAAAAAAAGAATAGACCAGAACAAGCCATCATATTAGAAAATATTTTTAACTGCTTGATTCCTATATTTTGAGGAAAAATTAAGGCCTAAAAATGTGTTAGATAACAAGAGAAGCTGGGAAGTTAAACAGTCCAAACCAGATCATGTGGTGGTGCATGCCTTTAATCCCAGCACTCAGAGACAGGTGGATCAAAACAAAGAATACAAACCAGGGCTCAGCAAATGTTAAGATCCAAATAGTCAATATTTCCCTGCAAACCTTGTGTTTCTGATGCAACAACTTAGCAATGCCATCTATCTACTAAGATTGGACATGTGTACCTTATGACTCAGCATTTCCATTCCATTCCTAGAATGTCCTCAATTGAAATGAGCCCACCAAAAGTATGTAGATAACAGCATTATCCAAAATAGCCCACATTAGCACCAACTCACATCCATCAAGAAAAGAATGAATAATTTATAATTATTTACAGAGCAGATTCTGTATGTGTAGCAGAGAGCTGTGGTAACATGCAGGATTGATGGCATCTCAAATGTGATCTGCAAGAAATTCAGAGAAGAATGTACTCTAATTATGTGCAATAAGAAACCTTCCCTTTGCTGGGGATAGAATGCAGTGATTGAAAGAGGCACAAGAGGCTACTAATGTGCTAGAAATATTTCCTGATCTGTCACAGTTATACGTATATTGGCATTTTATGACAATTCATGGAGCCATACCCTTGATTTGTAGTGTTTACTTGCTTTGGCTGCATATCACTTCCATACCAGCCTGAGCTACAGAGTGTGAGACCTTGCCTCAATATATGTGTTTGTGTGTGTGTGTGTGTGTGTGTGTGTAAATATGTATGTGTGTGTGTAAATATGTATGTGTGGGCAAGCATTCAGTGGAAGCCAGAATTACAGCTTGCCTGACATCTGGATACTCCTTAGTCCAAACATTTGACTAACAGATAAGCCAGAAATTTAATAAAGGGATGAAGTAGTCAGAGTACCTAAGCTATATGTCCCTGGTGATCTGGATTCCTTTACCTGTGCACAAAGTCTCTTATTCAAGAGAGACCTAAGAGGGCTCTAGCAGGCTAATTATCTTAATGAACCTAAAGCTTTGAAAAGTCAGGATAAATTTGTAATGTGTCTAAAGTTTGACTACCTGACTGCATTTTCCATATCACATGGACCTGTTTCAGAGTGGAAACTTTGCTAATTCAAGGTGTTTAGGCTTGAAAATAAAAACAAGGTCGGGCATGGTGGTGTATGCCTTTAATCCCAGTACTCACTTTTAATCCCAGCACTTGGAGGGAGAGGTTCAATGCTAGCCTGGTCTACATAGTGAGTTCCAGGCCAGCTGCTGCTACAGGGAAACCCTGTCTCAGAAAGACGAGGAAAGAAAAAGAAAACTAGGATACAACACTTACCTAGCTAGCATGCATGAGGCCCTAGGTTCACAAGTACATATGTGTGCATATACACACACGCACATACATACATACATACATAACATACATACATAAATGCAAAAATTTTAAAGAGAACTGAGCGGAGATCATCCACAGTCACAGTGGGGAAAACAAAAGTAGAGCCAGCAACCACTACTGTTGGCTGGTCCCACCTTGCAGGTTCTGCAGTTTAACCAACTGCAGTTCCATCTAAAGGGAAACTTGGCAAGTTAAATTGCTTAGTGCTGTAGATGCCAAATGAGTTCTTGATGGATGGTAAATATGTGATTAAAACACTGAAATGGGAGCTGGAGAGATGGCCCAGTGGTTGGGAGCACAGTTTTGGTTCCCAGCATCCACATGGTGGCTAACAACCATCCATAACTCCAGCTCCTGGGGATCTAGTACCCTTTTCTGACCTCTGTGGGCATTGCATGACACAAGTACACTTGCATATATGCAGGCAATATTACTCATACATACAAAAAATTTTCATTTATTCATTTATTTTTGGTCTTTTTCAGACAGGGTCTCTCTGTAGCCCCAGCTGTCCTGGAACTCAATATGTAGACCAGGCTGGCCTTGTACTCACAGAGATCTGCCTGCCTTTGCCTCTCAAGTGCTGGGATTAAAGGTGTGCACCACCACACCTGGCAATAAAAAAAATTTATAAATAAAAATATTAAATAGCGAAATGTGTTTGCTTAAATGGTTTATGTCTAAGGTAAGGTAATTAAATAATCTTAGCTGGGCATGGTGGAGGCAGAGGCAGTGGCAGTCTGATCTCTGAGATAAAGGCCAGGCTGGCCTACATAGCAAGTTTCAGGCCAGCTGGGGCTACAGGGACAACCTGTCTTAAAATATAAAAATAAGTAAATAAGAGCCAGGTGTGGTGGCACACGCCTTTAGTCCCAACAAATAACTAAATAAATATTTTAAATCTTAAGTGAGAATTTTACTATTTTTGAGTGATTTTTTTTTGGGGGGGGGTCTTTTTTGAGACAGGTTTCCCTGTAGCCCCAGCTGTCCTGGAACTTACTATGTAGACCAGGCTGGCCTTGAACTTACAGAGATCCGCCTGCCTCTGCCTCCGGAGTGCTGGGATTAAAGGTGTGCGCCACCACACCTGACTTGAGTGATTATTTTTTTTAGATACAGCAGTTTAAACAAAAGTTTTCTTTTATTGATGGGAGGAATAAACATGACAGTCGCTAGAGAAATTGGTGAAATTTTATTGTTCCATAAATTTTATTGTTCCTCAGTTGACCTGAGGACATAGTTTACTCCAGGTGATTGGGTTTTTGTTTGTTTTGAGGCAGTCTCACTACCTCAGACTGGCCTCAGACTCACTATGTAGCTGAAGATGGCTTTGAACTTCAAATTCTCATGTTTCCAATGCCTGAGTCCTAGAATTACAGGCATGTACTGCCATACCTAGCTAAAAAGATATTTATGAACAGCTTATATGACTGTAATCCCAGCACTCAGAAGGGTGAGGCAGACAGATTGCCAGAAATTTAAGGCTAACTTGGTTTACATATACTTTCTTTCAAAAACAAAACCAGCCCAGCATGATGACATACATCCTAACACACAGGAGGCAGAGGCAGGTAGATCTCTGAGATTCAGGCCAGCCTGATCTACATAGAGAGCTCCAGGCCAGCTGGAACTACAGAGGAAGGTGCTTGCTATTAAAAAAGAAGAAAAAAAACCTCATATCTAACCTAACATTAGAAAAAGTTGATACATCTTGAGTATTTTTGTAGCAATTCCTAATATATTGTTGGCTAAAATCCATGTGGAAACATAACTCTCACCACTTGAGTGAACATAGGCCTGGAGGAGGTATGTTAGTATGCTTGTAGTTTGGAACTTGGCTTGAGGCTTGGGCAAAAGTTGAATGGAGGGACTGATTAACTGTACTGGCTTCAGTGACCATGCTTTCTGCCTCCCTGTAGACTGGATTGGACTCAGAGATGGTCCCATCACCATCTCTGACTCCTCTGACGAGGAAGTGATTCCAATGCTGGTCACCCCAGCGCCTGAGCAGCATGATGATGATGACCTGGACGATGATGTCATCCTGACCGAGGTGAGTGTCTTCCAAGTTCCATGATGAGACACTATTGCAAGTTAGTGATCTGACTCTTTAGCCTGAACCATGTGGAGAAGCTGATGGCATGGCACATTCCTCTGTGCATCTCTCCTAAAAAAGCCCCTTCTCTCTACTCATGCCCTCTTAGCTATAGAAAGCCACATGTCTGTTTCTGGACTTTCTTCTGCCTCTGGCTCATCTGTTAATGCAGTACCCCTCACTACTTTGTGATCCCTACACTAGAATGTGCCTTACCGTCAGCTAGAATTTCATACCTTCCTACACGTGGTTTCCAGAATCCTCCCAAATACTCTTGCATTCATTTCTATGTGAATTTTATAATCAGCTTTTCTAGTTAAAAAAGATAGGTAAATCATTTTGTCTAAATCAAAACAAATCTTACCATATTTATAGAACAGTGAATACAATACTGCTTTTCTAAAATTAGATTCATTTGTGTGCGTGTGTGCGTGTGTGCGTGTGTGTGTGTGTGTGTGTGTGTGTGTGTGTGTGTATGTGTGTGTATAGCACACCTATGGAGGTCAGAGGACAGCTTGGTGAAGTTGGTTTTCTCTTTGCACCATGTGATACCTGAGGATGGAACTCAGGTTGTCAGGCTTGGCAGCAAGCACCTTCACCCTCTGAGCCATCTTGCCAGCCCAATATTGCCTCCTTCTAAACAGGGTCAAGTTTTTCTTCACTGCATAGTCTAGTTGCCATTTATAATCGTCATATATGTACACGCTCAGCCCGAGCATTCTGAAGTCATTAATATAGTCTCAAACATTTTCAGTTATTTATTTCGATTATTTCATCTTTCCTGTTTCTTTTGTAATTGGCATCTTATGTTACCCTTAATGTTTTTTTTTTTAATTTTTATTTATGCACATGCTTGTGTTTGTGTGTGCACGTTTGTGTGTGTGTACCATGTGAGTGCTTGTGCCCATGGAAGCCAGAAGAGGGCGCCAGATCATCTGGAACTGGAGTTATAGGTGATGTGGGTTGTGGGAACCAAGCTCCTGTCCTCTGGAAGAGCAAGAGCTCTTAACCACTGAGCCATCTCTCCAGACTCTAACCTTTAACTTTTCGTAAAAAGAAGTTTTAGGGACTGGGAAGATAGCTCAGTGGATGAAGTAAGTGCTTGCCATGTAAGCATGAGTACTGGAGTTTGGATCCCCAGAACCCATATAAAAGTTGGGCTGGTGTGGCAGTCCACCTGTAATCCAGTGCTTAGGAGGCAAAGACAGGAGATAACCTGGAGCATGCTGACATAGACTAGCCAAATTGGCAAGCTTCAGGTTTAGCAAGAAACCCTGTCTCAGTTTTTAAAGTGGAGAGCAATAGAAGAAGACACCTGTCAGCCTCCGACCTCCACATGTACAAACATTCAGGTACACTTGCACATTCATGTGTCCATGCACACACATGCAGAAAGAGATTTCAGTCTGTTGTTTTTATAGCCATTTCTTCAGAATACATCTGAATATTTGCAAATGATGTGTGACTTTCTAGTTTTTTTATTGTTTGTGTCAGGGGGGGTGTACATGAGGGTGCACATACACATGTATGTTGAGGCCAGAGACAACCCTGAGCATTGCTCCTTAGGACCCATTTACATTTGTTTGTTTGTTTGTTTGTTTGTTTATTTGTTGTTTGGGGGTAGAATTAAGTTGGTCTAGAGCCTACTGAGTAGGCTGGGCTGACTGGAGCCCCAGGGATTTCCCTGTCCCTTGCCTCCCCAGGGCTAGAATTATAAGCATGAACCATACACATGACTTTTTATATGGGTTCTGAAGATCAAACTCAGGTCTTATACTTGCATGCACAGCAGGTATTTTTCATAGACTTTTTTTTCTTTTTTTATTGTTTTTTAAGACAGGGTCTCCCTGTAGCCCCAGCTTGCCTGGAACTCACTATGAAGACCAGGCTGGCCTCCATCTCACAGAGATAGGCCTACCTCTGCCTCCTGAGTGCTGGGATTAAAGGCATGTACCACCACACCTGTCACTGTTTCTTTGTTTT